CCACATGCGTCCCACTTTTTTCTCATAAACTGATGGCCATATGTTAGTGAAGATTGTGTCACGCTATTTTTAGGCATGAAGTTCTGCAAATTTCTGTTATTATGTGAAAAATATCGATGAATTCACGAAGGGTAAGTTAAATTGCATAATAAGCAAAATTGAAAGTGAGAATGCAATATATATACTATATATTTTAAGCCAGATTAACGATTGTCTGAGCTGCAGCAGGCAACGTGCAGAAATTCTCCAGAACTCGATACTAAGCTTTTGCCATGAAGCGGTGTAATGGCACAGCTGCTGTGATTTTCAAACACCATTTCAAAATACATATACAACTCAAATTACTCAAGGGAAAGGGAGCTTGACTTTATCATACTTCTGCATGTTTCCAAATAAAGATCTATTTACACTTCCTGGCCAGTAATTGCTGTACCCCTAAACAGACATAAAAGTGAAAACCATGACATTTGGTAGTCTAACAATGGACCTAGGGATTTCAACATCACACCAATGTGATTTGGCATAAGCTGCAAAAGCTTATTCAATCAGTCATACATTGTTACCCTTTTATGCCAGTTTTAACGCGATACTTTTAAAAATCTCGTGGGCATCGTTGATTGTGAGTGATGAACCTTGTGAGCAACCGGAAAAATCAAGAAAGATGCAAATAAAATAAGTAATAAAAAATTTCCCAGTTTGCGGGAGGATCAAGCCAGGCCGTTTGCATGGCAAGCAGGCGTTCTACCGCACAGCCACACATCTGCTTGGAAATTAAGGAAAATAACTTCATCTGCTTGAAAATGCAGTGAAAATAATGTTAGGCTTTGCAAACACATGTGTCCTGTATACTGCCTTCACAATTCAATATGTAATATCACAGTAATATTTCTTGATACAAGTGTGCATTGTAATCAGGCATCAGAACATGTGATTATCTTAAGGACTCATAGTTAAAAGGTGGCCAGCCATAACAAAACGCACACATTTTGCTGCACACATTTCCTTCAGACCACATAGTGAGTGCATACCAAGTTCGAAAATATTTCATGCACCAAGTGCTTGAAGTACGCACTAGGGCCAGGGTATCATTATCGTGTTCAATTCTTGAAAGCGAACCTTAAGGGTCGCCCAATTTTCTATGATGCAGCTGTGATATCGGGTTGACGTCAATTGTTGCTAGGTGCCATGCACTGAAGTTGATTTATGCAGCAGCGTCCAGGGCTACCATCCTCACTAGCACCAGCACTTCATACCAGCTTATTGATTCTGGTGTTCCTAATGCTCAAGTTCATGTTTGCATCATTGCACAAGTGCAAACAACTGGGTATATAAACACTTGGAATTCTTCAATGTATGTCTGTGTGTGGAACATTTGGACGTATATTTGGCATAATTTCATGACGTGCCGCTATAAAAAAATCACAACATGGTCACGCTAAGCATGCCTCCGCATGCTTTGCATAATGTCGATTCCGGAGCTACGTGGAATATGCTGAATTTTTCAGAAATATCCTTGGGCAAGACGTACTTTCGGCACGAATCTTGACATAAGTATGTGTCAGTTTTTTACAAGAAAATGTAACTCTTAGAAATGCCGATTACCATATTTTTAATTGTATAGTCAGTGTACTTAACATTTTAAGCAGTACTCTCTTTTATATTCACACAAAACACAGCTGTAGTGTATGGCTCATAGTTGAGGAAAATGCTGGCAAAGCACAACTTGCACTTTTGCAGTTAAGACAACATAGCTTAAGGGCCCACTGAACGTTTCTGTTATGCATGGTGTACTACTAAGTTATTACCGTTACTTCGTGCGATCAGGCTGACATTATGATCTGTGCATGATACAGCTCCTCAGCTGCACGATAGTGATTTTCATTGCAAAGCTGTTTTCTGGCACGACAGGCATGAGAATTTGGGACAGGATGTGACAACGAGCATGTACGCTAAATCTGAGTGCGCCGTCAATTCAGTCGATCTGTGTATAGGAGCGAAAATTTAGCCAGATAACGGTAAAAAAGTGACGCTAGGGAAAAAATGAGGAGCCCTCAAAAATGAGGGCGAGAGAAGTTCAGTATGCGTCTGCCTCCTTCTTTCTCTCTTTTCTTCTCTCTTTCTCTTTGAGAGCTCGCCTTTTTTTTCTTGCTCTGTTCCCTGTTTTATCTTTCCTCTTTGTTTTCTTTTCTGCCTTTGGATACATCACTTTCTACATTCTTTCCTTTCCAGGTGAAAATACTCCACGGTTTCAGTTAACTTTAACTGAAACCATGGCTGTATACAGCTGGGACTAAGTACAAGCCAACACATTAGCAACATGTTCCAGTTGGTCCCAGCATGAACCACTCGAGACTGAAAATGAAACCAGCTGGCCTGGAAATGGAATCAGCTGAAATCATTTGTTATAATGAAACCAGTTGGTGTGAATTATTATTATTATTATTATTATTATTATTATTATTATTATTATTATTATTATTATTATTATTATTATTATATTATTATTATTATCTTCCTTATGGCCATTCTCTTCATCCCAGAATAGCTGTAGTGCAAGGCAAATAAGTGATAAGGCACATTGCCTTCATGATGGTTTTTTTTTTTTTGTACATCTAATGCTGACAACATTTACAGTTCATTGTATGCCAGTACAAGTTTCATTTCAAAAAGGCACAGGGTATTTCAAGCAGTGCAAACAACTAAAAAACAGTTTGTGTAACGCACAGGACATATGCACAACCAAATATTGCTGTGTGCTGCATCGAAGTTTAAACGGGCTGGCACTCCCTTACCTCCTATTGCCTAGCACCTCTCTGCCAGAGGAGGACATGGCACTGCAATTTATAGAAAGGCATAAAGCTACTCTGAAAAGGTCTAACTCCTTTGCCTCATACTTCCATCACCTGATCTTTTGGAGATTAGGT